TTTTTCTTGAGTGAGCACAGAGAAGGTGGGATGCTCAGGAGAATGAAAACATGACCTAAGTCTAGTCTTGAGGACACAGTAATCGCAAACCTAATTTGGGGATAGGAAATGGGTTATGATTATTGCTGCTTCTATAACATTAGAATTGATACATCAGCTGCTTTCAATACTATGTCAATGGAAAGTATGGGAAATCTCTGTTTCCTGAAGCCCTTTAAAGAACATTTTACTGAGTTCATGTGGATAAATTACAGATTTGTTTATAGCAGTGCAATAGCATAATACCTCTATTTTATATTAGTTGAAAGTAAAATCACTTTTTTGTTCTTGTCTCCGATTTGTTAAGAAAATGGGAGTAAGCAATTATTCTGGGTCAATCAAAAATGTCTTTTGAGTGATAGGCTTGCGTGCTGTATAGTAAAATGAATTGTGTACGTGGTTTTCACGAGTGAGAACACCATGTGCAGTTTTTGTTTTCAGATGTAAAACATAAATGTCCTCCACCACCACTTCCTCCTCATGCCCATACCGTCGCAGTTAGAAGAACATATCATAATGGAGACAAAGTTCGTGTACAGTGTCAAAGTACCTTTGAAATAAGAGGATCTGAGGAAATCCAGTGTGAAAGAGGAAAATGGACGTCACCCCCTATTTGTATTGGTTAGTACTTTTGTGAAGACTGACAACTGCACAGAAACGATTCCTTCAGACAATGCCTTCGTTATCTGGAGAGCCTCAGTTTCCATATCTGCAAAATTATGTCCCCCTCTGTTAAAATGCTTGAGAGGTGAAGTGCTGCATAATTTGCAGACAATCTGTTGGTCGGAGATTAAAAAGAAAGGATGAGCTAGGTGAATTCGACTGACGTACCTGTTGTGTAGTTCTCCCCTGAAATATTTATTTTATTACATCTTAAGAGCACAGCAGTGTCTGTTGTTTTGGTATTTGAAAATAAGTTATTTCTGAGAAAACTGGCTCTAAGTTTCTGCTGTGTCTGCAGGAACGATGGATAAGCGGGAATCTGAGGCACCATCATCACCAGAGGCAGATGCAGCCATAAGGGCAAGCAAAACCTATCGCAATGGACATCTAAGTAGGTGAACACTGTTTTTCTACTTAAAAGGGACTTTAATACTCTCCAGTGCTATTTTGTACCCCTTCTGTTAATGTTGTCCAGATGTACGCATTTAGGAGTATTTTGCTGATCCTTTGATGAATAGTTCTAGTGAGGTCTCTTTTGTTTATTTTGAACCACATATGGGCTAAACATTTCAAGCAACAAATAAAGAAGGTCTCATAAAAGAAAAAGAACTAAGCTGTATTGAGTGTAAACCAGCAAGAGTCAAGAGCGGAGACAGATGAAGAGCGTAGAGGGAAATAAAATGTCTGTCTGCAATTCAGTAAGGCCAGCGTAGAGTTTCTGAAGATTAAATTTGAAAAATGGATTACATTGATTTACATTTTATTTGTATGTAGATTTTTACTCAGTCTATTGCTAGTCATACTTTCTCCAGTGTTAACATTGTTTTAAAGATCTAATTACCTATCTCCCTACCTCATATTAGAAACGCAGCAGAACTGTACCTCTCCACCTATGATCAGAAATGGTGTTCTTCTTGGTCCGTTATTGACAAGTTATGAAAATGGTTCCTCAGTAGAATACGGTTGTCAGCGTTACCATTTTTTGGATGGACCTCGTACTGTTTACTGCAAACAAGGAAACTGGACAGAACACCCAACTTGCTTAGGTAAGTCTTGTAAGAAAAAGAAAGCTTTGTCATATGTAACATAGAAAGGTAAAACTGGAAAGAACTTCTAGATAATCCTTTCATAACCACCTTTCCTCTACCATTTGATTTATTAAAGATTCCAGAAACATGAGGATGAATCAAAATCAAATATACCTTGGCCACTCCTGCTAGGTGTCCTCTGGCCTCTTCTAACAAACACCCAATAAAATAGATTCCTCTGTTTTCCTGAGTGAGCTATTCTAGAACATAGTTGTCCCTGGATCTCTCATTTCTTTTTCCCGGATTCTCTGTTCAGTGAATTTCTTCCTGGCCTTCAGTAGAAGGAATGACCACATTTAGATATGATTAACAAGGACTACAATGACTTCTTGGACACCTCATTTTTAAACCTTTGGCCTTTTTTTAAATTATGTGTCTTTATATCTATCATCTCATTCTGGACTTTCTAATTTTTCTGTGTTGGTCTTATGTATGCTGTTCAAAACAATGTGGAAAATTTACCAATACTAGCAGGAATAGTACCTCTGATGATCTACAAGAGTAGTTTGTTTATCTTTCCTTCCTTCCTGTAATGAAATTATTCTATTTTACTAACATCCTTTGTTAAATTGACTCACTTTAAGTTTGTAATCTACTGTGAAAATGCAAATAAATAACCAGTTCATTTTTAATTACTTATTTCTAAATGAATATGATGTACCTTGTCTGGATTGAAAGGTCCAGATCAGCATTGTTGGATCTGAATACTCAGATTTAATAAATCCTGTGAAATAATGAAAACTAATTTCCTATGAGTGTTGTCTCCTAAGCATCCAAATAACCACATTATCCTTTCCATGTTTTCTGAGATTTCTTTTCAACCCTCACCTAATCAGACTAGGAAGAGCACATACTGTTGTTAGCTTCAGGAAATAGCCATGCCAATTTGTTGTTATGGTACCGTGATTTCTCCTTGCCTTTCCCTCAAAGCGTTAATAAGGGCCTCTCTCAGGCAGTGATTCTCATGGAGCTCCTAGACATTTATAACTGTCCCTCTGTCAGGCTTTACTGACGTTGAACAGTGGTTTCAAAAGTTCATGTCTAATGGAAAGCTTAGGCTACCTGATGTGATCCTGGTGCTGAATTTTAAGAAACCTCTCAGAAAGCAACCAAAACACTATTGACTTTGAATGACCTGAAAAAGCCCAAAGAAGAACACAAAACTTCCAAAAGGTTTTTGGAAGATCTCTAAATTCTTTTACCAGTGACAAAACAGAGAAAGAAGCAAATGAAGAGAACTGCCAAAACACTTCCTTAGGTTAACACTTTACACTGAGTGTGTATTAACTACTACTGTCCTTGAAGGGCTTCCCGAGCCTCTCAACCAAATCTGACAGGTTATTTGGATGGGCACCTTTTTTCATTATAAGAAGCTCTTTCAAGTTACAGTAAATAAGTTCTTTTCTTCTTCAGCGGTAAGCCCAGGCTGCCGTATGTTTACAAATACTTGTAGAAACCAGATTTTGTCAGAGGTGTCTGTTTTCTGTGATTTACTGCTCCCAGTTTAGGGGTTTTTTTTACATGTTACTTCAGCCAATTTCTTTACATTTCTATTCTTCTTTTTTTTTTTTTTTTAATGCATTTGTAGTTCTTTTTCTTGCAAGATTCAAAAACTTTTTAGATCTATTGATTTAGATTTCTCTTTTTTTTGCCTCCTACAGAAGGGAGCTAAAAAATCACTTAGGGTTGCTTTTTCTTGAAATATGCTTTTATTTTCTAGAACCATGCACTCTTAATGTAACCAATATGAACAGCAACAATATAGAGTTGAAATGGAGGCAGGAAGAATTAATTTTCCTACACGGCGATCTCATAGAGTTTGAATGTAAACAGGGATACAATTTTCTCCAAACTGCCATTGCATCTCCTGGGAGGACACAGTGTAACCACGGCAGACTGAAATATCCAAAATGTATTATGCAAGGTAAAATAATGCTTTTTAACTGCCTTTTTAATTAATCTCAGATCTAGTTAGAAAAAAATAATTTCTTTGGCCATGAAAGCCTAAAATCTGTTGTAAATAATAGATTCAGCAATACAGATATACAGAGATATCCTTGCACAAGACAGCTATATTGTTAAATATATCCAAGCATGGGAAAACAATACATGTTCCTTTGATGGAGAAGGCTGTAGAAAGGAGGAAGCAGCTGTTCTCCAAGCCCAGGGAACTCAAAACTCTGTAGGCAGCTGTAAACAATGAAATGCACACAAGGGATTTCTTATGGTTAGAATGAAGCAGGAGATTGCATTCTGATCAGAGACATAATGAAATAGTAGGAAAATACGTTATCTGATCGATGATAGATATCTAGTGTTGACAGGCATTGAAAGCTGCTGGTTTGTTCGATTCTTAAGCTGAATGTTTCTCATGTGTTTTGAACATTTTTCCAGCTCCTACAGAAAAATGTGACTCTCCACCTTCCATTGCAAACGGAGCTCTCACTCTGCCACCACTGACCCAGTATGACAGTGGTTCATCAGTCCAGTATAGTTGCTCTGACTATCATTTTTTGCAAGGATCTGAGAGAATCTACTGTTCTGAAGGACACTGGACTTCACCACCAGTTTGTATAGGTAGGTGTGATCAGGTCAATAAGCATTTCTTTCTCTCTGTAACTCTGATACTTAGAATTTATAAATTTCATATTGATAACTAGAAATTCAAGATCCCAACTTAAGTTTGTTTTTTTGTTTTTTGTTTTTTGTTTTTTTTTCAGTTAGAGATTAAAGCTTAGACAGAAGCAAGTATAAGCTTGTCAGGCTTTTTTTTTTTTTTTTTTTCTTAGATATGACATTCCTGCAGTATCCAAAGATACAGTGATTCAATGTATAATATGTTAAGAGAATGAGAAATAATCTACAGGTTTAGTGTAGACTAGTCAAAATGCAATTAAAAAAATAATCAATTTATTCACACTGATTATGTCTCTCTTCCTCAGAGCCATGTACTTTGTCAAAAAATGAAATGGAAAAAAATAATGTGTTGCTGCAAGGATTCTATCAGAATCAAGTTTACTTTTACCATGGGGATTACGTTGGATTTTACTGTAAACAGAACCATGTTGGAGCAGAATCTGGTACAACTTTATTTCAAGTGCAGTGTAAGAGAGGACAGCTGAAGTATCCAAGATGTGTTGAAAGAGGAAAATAAAATAAGTATGGACTTCAGGAAAGCCTATAGGAAAGGTATGTACATGTGAATTGAGATGGCCTCATATTTTCGAGGTCACTGCAGTCAGCTGTGAGAAATGAGTGGTCAGTGACATTGCTGAAGGGGGAAGGAAGTGAAAATGATTTGTTGTACAAGGACTGGGAATGCAGCAGAAGCATGCAACATTGGCATATGCATGGAAAATTTAGGATGAAGGAGTTTTGTAAGGCTTACAGTGATAAACTTGAGGATGCATCACAATCTGGAGGACTTGGGCAAAGCACCACGACAAGAAGCTGCTGAGCAAGCAGTGCCCTTTGCGAGGATATTGGTGGGTTTGATAGCATAAGTGCTTTTGTGACTACAGAATATAGCTCAACTGACATTTAATTGCATGTCATTCAAATAGATGTTTAGTTTTACAGAAAGAGAGGCCTATTTTTTTTTCCACATCTTAACAGCATCCATGTGTCCTTTCACAGGTAAGAAGCCTTTAAAGGACAAGGCTTGAGGGACAAAGAAAAAAGCAAGTATTCCAGAAAAAAAAAAAAAGGTTGTCTTTAATGCTTTAATGTATCTATGAAACCGTGTAAAACCTAAAATAATGCAAATTCTACTCAGTAGTTAATTATTATTCTTAAAAAAAGTCAGGCAGGCATCTTTGTTTTGCTAATTTAGGGCATTCAAGCTATTAAAATATTTAGTCCAATTACTTTGTATGATTTCCTATGATACTCACAACATTGTACTGTTGCGGCTCTGCCTTTGAACATGTTGTGTGTCTGAAGATATGAAGAAAATTCAGGAATATAGACGATGTTTGCCTTGCATCTATTTTAGTATGTTTTAGTACAGAAGTCACTGTAAGGGTCTCTTCTGTATTTTATCTCTAAACTCCATTTTTCTGTGATATCACTGCATGTATGCTGTTCTGTATTGTTTTCCAAGGCTTTCGTGAGTGTTACGAGAATAAATACGTCAACGAAGAAATTAAAGCATTCAAGAAATAGACAAATTCTGCTTATTTAATCAAAACCCAGTTAACCATTTGGTGGAAAAGAGGTTGATAAAAATAATATTTACATGCTGTTTACAATAGCATTCCAAAATGTTTTCAAAAGGTTAAAATTCACTGCTTTGTAAAGTGGTGTTTAGAAATGAGGACAAATAACAATGCGATTTAGCAATCTAATATAATGAACTTCTGACGTGTGATATGTTCATCTGAACTAGGTGTTCACTATAGCTCTTATTTCTAGGTCACGTTATGAACAAGGATTGTATTGTGAATTGGTGAGTCTCAGTTAAGAAATAATGTAAGAACTTGGTTAAACAAAATGATTGGTAATAAATTTTTTAACCAGTAAATTTTGATATATTGAGCATTGTTACCTCAATAGCCGCCATCTAGGCTTCCTAAGCATCCAGAAAGTATTTGTGCTGAAGCCAAAATATATAGAAATTAATCTCAGTCTCTCGAGTTTTTACATACTAATAATTCCTGTGTCTACAAAAGATAGAAGAAAAACTATTTCCCTTGAACATGAAGGATGTTGACATGACGGAGTAGCTCTCTAGGCAAAATCTTGCAAGGCAACTAGCGTATCTGTGACCATATCAGTAACACCACGCAAGGTCAACATTACCTAGGTATCAGGAAAACCATATTTGAAATATAACCAAACTGGGATGAATGGGGGAAAAGTCATTTGGGGAAGGTTGTTTATTTGGGAGGAGAGGGAGGTGGAGAAAGGGAAGTACAAGCATGGGGAAAAGAAGACAAATAGGGGGTAATAGGATCTGCACATGATATAATTGAGACCCTACAGGGATACCAGTCAAGCAGCTCTGCGCTTGTTGACCTCAGCTTAGATCAGGCCAAACCCCCAAATCCATAGTCTTGACCATACCACAGAGCTCAAACTGGTTTCCACGGCCTGGAAGATGCATTCGGGGCACAGGGGGAGGGCCCATTCTCTGCCTAGCAGGGAGAAGCACCCGAGACAAATGGATTACTTGAATCCCAACATCTTGCCCTTTCAGCAAATGGAAGGCTCAAGTCCCCCATAAGAACCGTGTCTGCGGATCTAGAGACTTCCTTGAATCATTTAAAGGAGACTCCACTCATTTGCTCATCCTGCTGACACTGAACCCTGACGTGATCCCAGCGTAGTTTCCAGGCAAGCGCACAGAGAAGAAGCTAGGAGCAGACAAGGCCAAACACACTCTACTTGCTGATAATCAAATTACCTGTGGACTTTAATTCTTGTCTCAGTATGCCACCAAAGCCAACCTATTTCAGGACGTAATTGTTAATAAAAATAATGAGATCAGGATAGAATGGATAAAATGTAAGCACAACCATTCAGGTGGATAAAATGTAAACACATTTACAAAATGTAAATACATTTACAAAAATGGATCAAATATGGATAAAATGTAAACACAATCATCCAACAATAAAAAGAAAAACAATAACAAAGAACATTAGCTAATCTGTAAACAAAGCACAGCAAAACAGGAAACACTAGGAAAAATTGAGCTCAAATCACAGGGTCAGTTGAGGGATCTTTCATTTCCAAAGCTGGGCTCCTTCATGCCATTTCCATTTATGCAAACCACCCTGCAGCATAAAGAGAAAAAAAGGGGAAAAGGCATGAAGACAAGGCCTGACACACTGCAGTGGTTCTTCAGAGCAGTGGACAGGCAATTTCAGAAAAGTTGCCTCCTACAGCCCCGCTGGCCCCATGTCCTGGGCACTGAACACTTACCTTCGCATGTAGGATACATGATCTGGCCATCCAGGCACTCTGCTGTAAATTCCTCATGGCGTGAAACTCGTCGGTAAAACCATTTGCACTCAAATATAATATAATCCCCAGTGCGATAGGTGGAAGTGCTCCACCTTGATGACTGCCGTTTAATATTGTTGCGTTCCATAATCCTCTCATCCACGGTACAGTTCTCTGGAAAAAGTACTTTCATCATTTGCCTGTAGACCTCACAGTGGACAACTGATGCTCTGAAACTCTTGGTAGCAGCTGAGAGCCCCTGAGAGCTCTTTCCCAGCAGCCTTTCCAAGCTCAGTACATGAGTCAATGGCTTCTTGGGGGCAATGCCCCTCAACGCCTGCAGCTTACAGCACGCTCCCACACCCTGGCACCCTGCTATTACCTCCCCAGGTGTTTCCCCACGAAACCTAATGGCTTTCCCCTTGGCTTCAGCACTAAAACTGCAACAACACAGCGGCTAAGCTGTGGCCGAAGTGGACATTACTTACTTCCTGGCTTGCACCGTGGATATTCTAACCTCCCCTCCATACACTGTGCTCTGAATGGGGAAGAATCTGGGTCCTTCAAATACCCTCTTTTACACCGAAATTCAATAAAGTCACCCGATCTGGAATACAGCTTTCGTCCTATGATCCATTTTAGCTCAATATTGTTTCTGTCCATGTCTTCTTCAGATGCTGTACAGGCCACTTGAAAAAGGCAAGAGAAGAGTGTCACCACTTCATACAGACACACCACAGGGAACTGTCTTCCCCTAGGGCCTACAGAAGTTCTTCACATCACAGAACTCTTCCAGCTATTTGCTCTGACACTCTGTTGCTTATGACAGGAAAGATATTCACATCCAAGCTAAAGGGAAAAAAGACCATGGCTGAGATGCACTCAGCGCTATGCAGAAGCCTTTTCACTCTGATAGTCACCCAGGGCAAGATAGAAGCATGTGTGGGGGAAGTCACCAGGCACCCATGAACTTCCCTGTGTGTTTTTGAGATCCCTCCCAAGCCCATTGTGGTGGTGAGAGACATCCTGCAGCAGCGTGGACTACACAAGGCAGATTGAAGAAGAAACTCCTTCTGGACAAAAGCAGAACTCACTGCTGTTCTGCCTGCCAGCATTGCAGTGCTAGCACAAGCGCTGCTGCACAAGTGCTGCCCTCAGGATCTGAGAGAAAACTGGAGCAGTCACACAGCCTTTGGCCACACAGCACGTGGTTCAACCTACCTAGGCAAACTGGGGGGCTTGTCCACTGCCCTTCAGCACAGGTGATATACTGAGATCCTTCCAGGACATAGAGACTTGGGCATTTGTATTTCAGAGTTGCACCTTGTGGATATTCTTGCTTGGTGAAGGAAAGAATGTCTCCATTTTCAATAACTGGAGGCGGGCCACATTTCCCACTTTTGCCTGGAAGAAAATCCCCAGAGAGAAAGCAATGAGAATTTAATTGCAACAGAGGCCTGGCCACAAATACTACTGGACAGTATGCTGGCACTATGAGAGACTCGGAGGAAAGCAGAGCGAAAACTCAATACCTATCGGGTGAAAAAGAGCAAGGGTTTCTCATTTCTCCAGTGCTGGGACTCACAACTGCCAGTTCATCCTGTTTGTCCAAGGCTGGAGTGCTTGCAGCTGTCTGCAGGACTTTGTCCCACCCTGCATAATGGTGTAGCATTTGGCACAGCTCTTGCTGCAGAAGAGCTTGACACCTACCTCTTCCCTGTACTGCCTGAGCAGTGAGGAAGGTGGATCTGATTGCAAAAAATAGCAACTGCCACTGAACAGCACCACTGCAATCACTAGTGGGACAGCCCTTGGGCTCTGCAGGCCACTTACAGCCACTGGGGAGGTCACACATGCCAGTCCTGAAGCACTGCTGCCTCACGGGTTTTTGTACCTATTCAAGCACCACACTGCTGCCAAGTCTGGCCTCCCAGAGGATCTTGCATTGGGAAGTCTCCAGAGAAGACTCAGATCCCTTGGTAGCAGCAGTGGCACTCTTTGCAATTGGCATTGTGTTGAGGAGCCACGAAGTGGAGCCTGGTCTGAATTCATTTGCTGCTTCTGCACCCCTTTCAGCTCCCAGCTGGCTGGTGTTTGAGTCAAACGCTGCCGCACTGATTCATGTGCTGAAACTTCCTGTATGTCTAATGAAAACAAATGAGATTATTCAGTGCGCTCATGAAATCCTAGGAGGCACCAACACCGTACCTAGACATCGGCTCACACATTAAATGCTACCCTTGGGTGATTTAACAGTTGATTTGACTCCATGGCATTCAATACAGCAATGCATCATCTGCATTATCTGGATGTCAACTAGCAGGGAAGCTGTGGTCTCTTTTCTCCAACAGAGGCAGCCAAATTTCTCACTTTCTTCTCATCAGGCTGTTTTGCCAATACACAGGGTCAGCGCAAGGGACACAGACCCCACCTTAAAGAATTGAGCTTATCTTTACTTATGGTTAAACCAATAAAATGATAAGTAAGAATGAAACAGAATATGATAATATAATGTAAAGCAATAAGATGAAAGATGAAATAGTGCAGTACAAAGAAAATAAGGCAGGTATTATTATATGTGGCCAACCACAGTGATTAAATAAGATGCATCACCAATTGCCCTAATACTTCACCATCATCCAGATCTGCAGTCGCTGGGGAGCCCTGGTTGCAGCGAGGATCTGGAGAACCTGTCCCAGCAATTGGGAGGTCCTACGCATATACTCGTAGGCAAGGTCTCCAAAGTCGCTGTAAGAGGGTGCAGCTTTTTATACTATTGAATAGACAAGCTTACATCACTTCAAATGGGGAACATCTGGCATTGTTCTCCATTAGACTCTCCCCCCAAACCTGTCCAGGGCTCAAGGAGGAGCCAAGGGAGCTTCTTGATCTGTTTGGCTTTGACCACATTGTTCAAACCTAGGCTGGACATCTGGCCCTATGGCCTTGACAACCTGTCTCTGAACATGGGAAGAAGGGACAGCCTCACGACATTTGATCTTCATTAGTGATTATGCTTTAACTAAACTATCTACTGATGAACGCACATACTTTGCTAATGATCTGGTGCTATTCTTAGACATCGTTCTGTTGGAGGGGTTCATCTAGAGGTCAACTTTGGTTTGAGGCCTGCAGCTTAGGCCTAGTACTTCACAGGCAGACACAGAAAGTAGGTCCTAAGAAGTCTAGACCTGCCCAGCAACTGCTCTCAGCCTCAGAGTGGTTTTCAGATGGGGCCCTCTTGAGTGAAGCCACCTGGGTCACTCAGCTGGTAAACTCATCTGAGTAGATACCTGGGGAAATGGCTTTTTTCCTGCATGTGCCAGATACAATGCATTTGTGCACAGTAATGAGAGGGAAATTTGGAGAAGTAAATGCCACTGAGTCAGCTTCATGACAGTCTCACTGCCAGGTGACTTTATGAAGAGAGAGAGAAAGTACCTTTACACTTTGGCAGCTCTGTCCAGGTCCCGTTCTGACACGCCACAGTGGAAGCCCCAGTCATCTCAAAACCTTGCCAGCACTGATAGCGAGCACTCTCCCCCGGCAAATACCTTGACTTTTTAACACCTTGAACTTTACCACCAGCAATTTCTGGAGGAGGTCCACACGTCACATCTGAAAAGAGACACTGCTGCAGTCACGTTTGCAGTTGTCGAGGTGTTCCCCTATACAACCAACAGTTAAAGGAATCAATCTTGTTACAATTCCTGGCCAGATTTTCTGCCTCAGGTGGAACTCATAGCTCCAAGAGTTCACCAAGGAGAAAGCAATGAGATGTGACAGTGGCAGAAAATGGGACTCTTGGGAGATGGCAATGTCAGTGAGGGCTTCTAGAAAAAGCCAGCGTTCCTGTAGCTACACCTTACGGCACAAGAAACCACACCAGCTTTCCTGCGAACCCACGTCCCTCCCCAGGGAGCCCTGGAACTCCTGAAATCACAGGGGTAGCAGCCAAGCTGGTGCTCTGCTAAACCTCCAAGCAGAGCTCTGGAGGACTGGCGGCGCTGGAGGAGCTCGTCAGTCTGTGCTGCTCAGAGGCAGGTAAGTGCAGTCAGCTCCATGGAGACGTGCAAAGCCAAGTCGCACTTGTTCACCCTGCAGCCACAGATTTGGGCAGGGGACAGGAGCACAGCTCCTGACAGCTCCTTGTCACAGGGATGCTCTTCCCACTTCCCTAGCAGATCTTACATGGTTTAGATCGTCTTTGCTGGGACTTGCATCAGTCAGAGTAGAGCTCTGGAGAAGAACAGCTGTTTCCCCCCCACACTGCTTCTTCCATTCAGATACTCCCCAACATGTTTAAACAGAACAGAGGAGCCCTTACATGTCTTTCTACTGAAGGTCACTGAAACAGCAGACTCTGGGGAAATACCAGTAGCATACAGGAGAACAATAGACCAGCACATTTTAGGCCCTGCGTCTTCAAGATATTTTTGCTGTTGATGAAAACATCCCCAGTATTTCTAGAAGCACAAAGCTAAATTAAAATGTCATGCAAGGAAGCAATAGCAAGTACAAAGTTGGGGTACCCAAAGAAAACAGAAGTATGAAAGGTGGAGCCTTTAGAGTGTTTAGGTAAACAAACAGCCCCCTCTACGCTAACAGTCAAGATGGAAGCACAGATTCTTCTTACCTCTGCAGGTTGGTGTTTGTGACCATTTGCCATCTGTACAAGTGACATAATTTCCACCCATCATTTGAAAATTGCTTTCACATTCATACTGCACTCTGGCATCGGGCAGATACCTCTCCTGTTGAGTGCTTGTAATATAAGCATTGGGAACTTCAGGTGCGGCTCCACAGCTAACATCTGAAAAGAGAGGTGTGTTTAAGAGCACTAATGCAGCAATAGGACTGCAATCACAGAATATTGCATTCCGGAGCACCATTGCTCATGATGAGCAAAAAAGGCTTACGTAATGCAGATATTCTACTACAGGCAGAAAAAGGAAGATATTAATGGTCTTTATTCTGCAACGCTTCACCAGACACTATTATTTTTGCCTACAGTGACTAAAAAGAGAAAAGGCATTGCAGAGATCAGCTGAAGCTGCAGATTGGGTGCTGTACAGCATTGTGTGCCAAAGGGCTAGGAAGTGATTTCTTTACTATTTGAAGGTAACTGTCAGAAACTGGCATTCTTATTGATGTGAAAATAAGATACATTACCCTACCAGTTATCTCCTTTTTTGCAGCCAGCATCCATTTCCCCACAACCCTCTGCCTGCTTGATTTCAGCAGTGGGCTAAGTTTCAGCTACTAGCCTCAGCCCGCAGGGGAAATTATTTCTTTGCTGATCTACCCTTGCTTGTTGTTTCTCAGGAGCCAGAAAAATAGGTGTTGTAGTAGTCACCTGTTGGTTCTATTGACTCACCTGAATGTCTGAGTTGACACTATTTTAATTCACAACATAAAAGACTAAGAATGATCATAGACTACTCAGAAGTAGAACACATACCTTCACAGAAGGGCGGTGCCGTCCAGTTTCCTTCTCTGCAAATAATTTCGGGCAGACCAACAATCAGGAACCCTGCCTCACACTGGTACCGAACTGTTTCACCGGGCTCATACATTTCCTTGTTTCTGCCTTCAATTTGAGCATTGGCAACTTTTGGAATACTTCCACATGGCATTTCTGAAAAGATACAGAAAGTCGATGCCTGTGCTAATGTGATAGACATAGAATAAGTGTACTGTTTCCACCAAACAGACGCTTTAAGGAGCTTTTTCTAACATCAGCACAATCATCTACTGCCAGTGCATTTTACAGAAGAGGTTGCATACGGAAGATTAAATAAGTCATTTCCCAAAACAGGCATGGACTTCAGTCACTGAAATATTTAAATCCTGTTTCTAACCATGCCAGGAAATTTTAATAAAGACATCTGTCCCTTACTACACAGAAGCAGTTTCCATCACTGAAGCCCCAAAGCAACTCCTAGTCACTAGTGGACTCTGTAGAAAACAGATCCTTGGACTATGAGGGTGTGCCCAGGACTCATGTGACAGAGACGTAAACTGAACAAAGATTGCAAGAATACAAAGGGCTATTAAAAAACTAAACTGAACTCAAAAAGTCAGCTTTGCATCCAATCAGGATTGCTCTGAAGATATCCATGAGGGATGATAAGATTCCACTGCAAAATATGGAGTTACTGGCTCTTACTAGTCAACATCCAGTTTAAAATCCTTTCATTTTCCTTGCTAAATGCACTTCCAAAAAAAGTATTTCTTTATATTACCCAAGCATATAGGAGCTGAAGTCCAATTTCCCATAGAACATGTTATCTCTGATGGCCCATCTAACTTGTATCCAGAACGAGAAACATAGTTAATCCTAGCACCAGCCAGATAAACTGTTATGCCTTCTTTTTTAATTTTTAAGTTTTGATTTTCCAGCCTGGGAACATCAGCACATTCTACAGGTGGTGGTGGCGAACATGGTCTTTCTACAAAATACAGAAAACACAAACAAATAATAACGCAAGACAATATTCCAATGACACATGCAGTCTAATGCTGAAAAGAAAAAAAACCCACAACCATGCAAACATAAAGTAAATGGCTTGAAAGGAAGATGAAGAAATACCTAAGGAACACAACCCTAAACCTCTCTCCTTTCCCTCCTACATGGGGTGTCTCTCTTTTCCTTAGAACCAAATTAAAGCCATTTTCCAGTTTGTACCAACGAGATACAGTTACAGCTTAGCATCAAGAACAGGGAAAATTTCATAGGCAGAGAAACAGAAGAGACGTTATCTTGTTTGGGGATACTGAAAGTGAGTTTCTAGAGTGTTAGCTATTAAATTTTTACACTATTAACAAAGTCATACTAATGTCCCGAAGGGTTTTCTGATGAAAATAAAAAAGAGAACAGAACTTACAAAGTGTTATAATGTACTTCCTAAAACATACAATGGGTTAAATCTCTATGAAGCCCTCCCGAGTCAGTGCTGTCCCAATGCTTTCTTCTCCTCTACTACTGTAGAGTAAGTGGACTTAAGTTATATTCTATATGCATTTTTAGTTATTAGTAGATTAGTTTTTATTAGTTGACACATCAAGTTGAAAGTGTATGTTTGCACTGAATTCCACCATACAAAAGATCCCATTATAGTCAGTTCCTGTTCAGTAACTGGGACCAAGAATTTTATTTCAGTAAAAGTTGTTTTATGATCAAACATTTTTTTGGTTATTCTTCACTAAGTAAGTCTGCCGCTTATCAGCAGAAATGGTGACTCAGGCAATGCAAAAGAAGAGAAACGTGGCATCGGAGTTTTGCAGCTTAGAAATACAGATATGGTTGGCATGTTGTGCACATCAGTCACCAGCTGGCACCTCATTTGTCCTGTGCTCATCCGTCTCCTATTCATTTCTGAAAACACTTTATTCTACCTCTTCATGAACTTCTGCTTACAAGGTATCACCTGCACCAGTAATATTTTAAGAATTGGATTACAGATTCCTCAGCAGTTCTTAGAATAGATGGCCTGAGTTACACCATATCATTTATACTCTTATCGCGGGAAGAAGCCACAAAAAGAAAAGGAGAAAAATCAAGAAAGAATAAAAATTAAAAAACCCAAAGACTGCCACTATTACAACTAAATAATAAATAATAATTATTTTTTCACCAGGATACTAGTAAAGGCCCCCAGTCAAAACTGAGACTCCATTCTGCAATATAATAATAATTATTTTTTCACCAGGATACTAGTAAAGGCCCCCAGTCAAAACTGAGACTCCATTCTGCAATATACTAAACAAACACACACACAGCTCTTGAGGGAATACCTGAAAGTTTTATATGCCATCTTAGATGAATCTGCGTAAATAAAAAGACTTACTGTTGGTTAGCTACACTTTCTTTAGCAACTTATATTCTAATGCTTTTCTGCAGTTACCTGTTCATGATAATCTTAACAGAAACAGCATCATCCTCCCGTTAATGATGACTGCAAATGCATACCATAGAAGTTAATAATAAAATAGAAAAAAAATCCACTACTGACCCACACAGTGAGGTGGTGATTGCCATTTCCCTTCTATACACGTTATTTCATTCATACCGACGAGCTGGAAACTCTTCAGACATGAAAAAGCTATTTTACTCCCATGCTTGTAAGTTCTTCCAACTGTTATCTGCTGGGCACCAGGCACCTGAGGTGGAGGTGGGCATGTACTCTCTTCGGCTAAGGACACATACTCATGTTATAATAGAATGTAAGATAAAGCATAACAGTTCATCACAGATTATAACACGAACAACCAAGAAAACACTGGCGTTAGATAATTCTTCAGTAGCTATCTCAAACTTTAATTAATATAATGACTATTTTGTTCTCCTTCAGAAACACAAGAGCTGCCTTCAGATGCTCATATGCTTTCAAACTCATTGAAAAGACAGTCACAGTTGCCTACACCAATCTAAGCTGGACCTTCTGGTAGTCCCTTCCTTTCCCTTACACACGGCTGCACGCTCTCGTGTGCTTTCCCTGACTTTCTCTTTTCAGGAAGACTGGACCAACTTATGGAGCTCCTGATTTGTTTTGTTGTTGTTTTTTTTTCTTCAGACTTAGCTAATAACAGAGCTAAATGAGAATCACAAATGGAAACAAAGAAATAAACTTCCATTTTGCCACTCATGGAATGAAGGGCTGCTCCTGCCAAAGGAAAGAAAAAGGGAGGGAAGGAGGTAGATCCAGGAAGGAGGAGACCTCAAGAGCTTGGTTTGTTGCTTCTAGTGGTTCCCCCAAAGGTAGGAACACTTGGTTTTGAAAGGGAATACTCCCTCAGTGATTGTCACTCTTCTCCCACTTCCACGCATTATTTCCCATGAATCTGGCATAACCAAAGCAGGCAGTGAGGTGATGATTGTTTTACAATCATGCCTTCCGCAGGCAATATCCTGTTCTGCTATACCTAAGGGCAGTCCTGCAGGTATCCGACCTTCGGTCTGTATCAGATAAGGGCAATCTTTTCTATGTCTGTGCTTTGGAGTTGGTCAACTCAGCTTTTTTTTGCTTGTTGTTTCACTAGGAAGTAATTGGAAAAGTAGAATAAAAAAAAAAAAAGAAAGAAAAATCAGGAATAGAAAAGTTTTGAATGTTTACAGGAAATAAAGGAACTTTTGCTGGAGCGTGGGCTGTGTGCTAATCTCATTTGCACCAGGGTAAAGCCCTTCTGAAGAACCGAGCTTAAATTTATCATTGCAGAAGTGACAGTGACAACTGTTCCAATTGCCAAGTTAAGTCTGCCTTACTAAAATAGTGTGTAACTCTAAACCTAGTTAACTGTTCAAATGATTTCCATAATTATTCATGAATATTCTTTGGCATATAATTGAGTACACATATATATACACATAGAAGCATTTCTATTTCAGACTACTGACAGAGCAATGCTAAGAAGAAGAAATTGTATACAAATCTCGAAACATACCTGTACATTCAATCTCTGGTGACCATTTTCCAGACACACAAGTTGCCCGTTGAATCCTTTTGTCACCTGATGTACATATATAATTTATATCTCCATGGAACCCTGTCTTCCTTCTTGGCTTGAGACGACGACCATTGTGCACAAGCTCAACATCATTTGGAAGTACACACCGAGCGGACGGATCTGAAAAAAAAAATCAACAAAAAGAGCTAAAAAATAGATTTAGTTCAGATATTATGTACATACACATTCACTGATGAAGAGGTCATCAGTTTCCTAATGCATGTCCATGGGAAAGTGACTTTTTATCTACTGCAGTTTGAAGTAACTCCTGAGCTTCCTAGACTGCAGAAATAGAATGACTTTTTTTGTTCCTGCTATCGAAAGCAGAGACTGTTCTCACTCACAAAGTAATTAGTTTTATGTTGACAGGATCTCTTTTACTGACTACAGTAAATAATATTAAAACTAAGCATTCTTTTCTTCCCTCAAACTATAAAAAGTTCGCAAGATGAGGAAGAAGAGAAACCTTCTTTTGCTTATAGAAACAAGAGCATAAAGGAAGTACTAGCTCACACTGAGTAAGTATCAGGTATCATCTCCTGTGGAAGTGTCTCTCTTGTCTCCTTGACTGGTGATTGAGAGCCAGAACACAAGCAGACTGTGTTTTGTGCCAGATTCTGTCCTCAACATCATTGTAAATAACAGTGTACTCAAATCACTGATGAAGATAAACTCACTTCTGAAGAAAGGGGGGACCAAGAATTGGATATACCATAAACTGTATTCTGTTAACTGAAGTGCTGGAGTAATTTATCCCAGACAAGACTCCTTCTTGCCCAGTACTACTTTTTTCTTAAATTACTGACTCCAATGTAATTTTTTTTCTTAGGAGAAGGCTTTGTTTTCTACCTTTTAAAAAGACATTACTCCCATTCAATTTATGCACTGCAAAACTCAATGGGAAGATGAGAAACAAAGAAAACTACTGCTTAGTAATGAAAATAACTAATACACAGAAAAATTATAAGGATGGAATAGGCCTATCACATTATTTTTAATTCCCAGTAGGATTTTAAAAAAGCAAAGTAGTATACAGAGACATAAAACTGCAAGTAATTAATGCAACAGGCATGCTGCTTTATTGGAGGTATGTCCCAAGGCTTCTGAGGGGTTGTTACCAGAGAAGAACACTGGAAAATGGGTAAAAGCCACTGTACAACAAATATGTACCCCCCAATACTTGATTTTACCCATGGTGCAAGTGTCCGTTTTCTTCCCCACACCTACTCAGAATGCTTACAAAGTTGGAGGTACAGGTCCTTTCCAGGGTGAAGGACATGGTCACATTTAAAAGAGAAGTAAATAAAAAAACCTTAAGCTGAGATGCACAAAACTATAGTAACTCTGGCTACATATTGATTGCTGTAATATTGTGGAAATAGATTACCAGCACAAAGAGGTAAAGGTTTCCATTCCCCATTAAGACATTTTATTTTCATTTCCTTAGAACTGGCAGAGCCTTGTTTACATCTGTAAATTACTTCATCACCATGTGAAAACTGGGTCTGGTCTTCCTGATGAAGAACAACATTTGGAATAGAGGAAGGTGATCCACATGGCATTTTGTCTTCTGTTGAGAAGAGCAGAAGTATTCCACAATAACACTGGAGTCATATGTGAATAGCTGAAAGAACTTAAATAAAAATAACTATATTTGCACGTGGTGAGTCAAAGCCATTAATTGTAACAACTAAACTTCAACACAGCTGGAGTATGTATATGTTTTAGTCAATTTACTAAATCCCTCTCCTGTCTTTTCCCTTCTCTTTCCATCACAGTGGTAACTCCACAGCACGCTCCACAAGTAGTTTTAGCTAACATTAATTTCCCAAACTGTATTTCACTGGTATGTAAACCCTAAAGTATAAGAAAACCGTAAATTAATCCAACTCATCTGGATCCCTGACTCTGATCAGTCAAAAACATATTTGGTTATACACTTACATATTTGTAAATTGTACTTTCAATTAGTATTATTACAGGAACTGAAAACCACTGTCGTATCACTTAGAGGGCTGCAGCACTGTCACCTCTGTGTAATAACAGCAGTTCCTGCTTTGGGCTGTCACTGCTGCAGTGGTAGTGACAGCAAAGGGTAACAGTTGGCACAGATGAACGCAGCATATGTTTTTTTTGAAGGATGAAAAAGGCATGTAAGGGGAATAAGCGCATATGGCCTGCTCCTAATGTGGGAGAGGGAAGACCCATGATAAATAAAAAAATTAAATTTGAACAGCCCTGCACTCAAGTTTGGACCACTCTTCTTTCAAACCTGTGCACTGAAACGATTTTCACTGGATCAAGGATTGAAAAAAATGCAAGCTCCCTGTTGTACTTTTTTAAACCATCACTGTGGCTCATGGAAGACATGTCAGAATGTGTATGTATAGGGACAGAGTAAGCCAGTCCCTGAAAGAACACCATTTATTGGTTCTGCTGTTAGATCATCCTGTGCCATAAGAATGCCCATAATTATTTTCCGTATTTACAGATTTTCAGCTTGAACATTCCATTCTACTTCATTACTAAGACACTGTCTTAACAAACAAATAGTCGTTTTGTACAAGATTTTTTTAACTCCTGTCACTGACATTCATTCTCTCAGGTTTGTGGTACACTACCTCACGACGTGCACAGAACATGGGTGTTTTTCCTTAGGCAGGAGACTTGACTGTAGAACTATTCACCATTTCAGTAGCGGGACTGTAAAAAACTGTTGGACATGTCTGACTCTAGCCTAAGGAACATGGCAACATAAATAACGCCTTCATAGCCATCCTGTTTGTAGCCCTGTGTCCCACTAACATACAGTATTGCCATTGCTAGAAAGAGGCCACAGAGTTGGTATCGAGCTTGCAAGGCCTCAGGATGGAGGCTTCTCAGGTTTACTTTGTCAATACCTGTCCTGACCCGCCTGCAGGCTTGGTTTTACTTGTTTCAGCTGTAAGGGTAGTTTTTCTAGTGACCAGGCTATAGCTATTTACTTTACTTCTGTTTATCTCTGTATGGCACAACCATAGTTCTATACACATAGCAGTAACAAGTTTTTAGTCACTGTAGAGTGCATAATTATGAGTCTAATATAACAATGCAGGTGAATACAGGGTTGGTATAATAACAGAGTCCTTGAGAAGTGGGGACAACGGTCAGGTGTGGCAGAGGAGAGGCATGGGATGGTAAGAGACAGGCACAGCCTGTCATCCCGAGGCTATGAATAGCTCACAAAAGGCCAGTTTAGACCTGGAGCTGATCAAAACTGGTTTTAGGGGTAAGTATCTAACATAGTTAAAACACACTTAACGTATCTAATTCAGAACTTGTAAACCAGGAAAAAAAAAGGGTAAGGCATAAAACCATGTTAGCAAACCTAAAAATTACCCCAAGCAGATCATGAAGGAGGAAGAGGAAATCATCAGCATCACATCTTACTCCTCACAGTGAATGACTTGAGATACTGATCATGTGCTGTAACTTCCCTCCAAAACACACCAGACCAAAGTTATTGACTTTAGGACCCAAAGGGGCAGTGGAAGGGTTAGCATAAAACCAGAACAAGGGATAAATAAGAGAAGGTGGGTGTATAACACTTTATCTGTTATTCTGTATTATTTATATATTCATAATTATTCTTTATATATTACATATTTCATTACTTTCTCTTTCTATACTAATTTGATGTAGACTTACAACAATTCTTTTACTGGACTGTTAAGATTTCAATTATACTACTAATAAAGTTTTGACTTTACATATAGTGTGTGTTTACTTTTCATCTGTAACATGATTTTGAACGTCACGTTACATCTGAAAATATATAATTTTAATTGTGAAAACATCTGCAAAGCATTATCCTACAGTGCACTATAGACTTCTCCTGAGTAAGAGTTACATAGATTACCAATGCAAGAGGGAGGAGATGACCATTGTCCATCAACACATTCTATTTCCTTTGATCCAAGCAATTTAAATTCTATGTTGCATTCATATTGCTTTCTGTCCCCATGCTGATACTGTTCCACAAAGCCACCAGCAATACTTCCATTGGTAATCTCAGGTGGAGGTCCACAGCCTCTGACGTTCACTGAAATCAAGAGATCAAATCTATGCTCTGAATTCAGCAATTTAACACAGTTATATGTTAAGAACAACACAAAATAAATTGAATTTGTTGTTTAAAGTTAACAAAAATCAGTAGAGCAGGTTAAACAGGCCATTGGTTTATTCCTTTGAATGTCTGGACTCATGCTGGGCTGGAGATCACAAACACGGGGACCAGATGTGTGACCCTGGCTCACTCTACTGTATTCCTCCCACGCACTGTCAATCTCCTGCTATGACAAAAGAAGTGGCTGATAAAATCAACCCAGTTTTAAGAGAAAAAAAAGTGTTACATGGATGACAACTTCACTATTCTTAAAAAAAAAGGGTGAAAATTCTGCAAGTAATAATAACAATATATGCTATAAAAAGCACCTAACGAGTGATATGTGCTGTATATTAATGGAATTAACTTCCGATGGAGTGAATGGAATTCCTGTTAAGAGAGCTTAAAATGCTGCTGAGCTTAAGAGCAAACTATATGAAATATACTTGTTTTTAAATGGAAAAGAGTGAGCAAAAAGGAGGATGAGAGCATGAAAGACAAGGAAACTGACTGAGTGGGAGGAAAGGGAGATGGGAAATACGAGAGCCTGTCATGCTCTCAAGCTTCCTCGTGAAAGGGCATAGCACCAGGAAAATAAACTCTTTTCAGATGCCACTAATCTGTGCTCTGTCTTAAAAAGGATGAGAAGAATAGGGGCAAATATCTTCCCTTGTGCATGAGTTTGTTCATCCTACCGGATGAAGCTGAGGAATTTCATAGGGAAAACCCTTCACTGAGTTTCTTTTGCTTGGCTCCGGCTCTGTCACCTCCAAAAAAAGCTTTTTTTTCTTCAATATCATATGATCAGTAAAAGGAACATAGAGTGCAACATCTGGTGGCTTTCAACATTAGGAAGTGGTAAAACTCAGGACATTTAGGACACCGTAAGAGAGAACACTATTCAAATTAATCACTCCTGGCTGCCATATTGCACATTATTTGTGCATTTTTGAATAATAAATAACTTTCCATACATTACAGTCAATAACCTGAGTGAAATTTTGTGCAAGCCATTTACCAGCTCACTTTCAGTTATTGCAGAACTCCAACTGGCATAACTAAAGCTAACAGAAAGTTCAACTGTTCAGAATCTTTCACATGAAATAGCAAAACACTGTATTGATCCAAAGAGGATCAGTTCCTGCCTTTTTAGAGATGAAGATGGAATAATTGTTCTTGGGAGCAAGACTGGCTTATAGAAGGTGTCCATGGAAGTGTCTTCAGGACGCAGGCATTTTCATACACTTCCTACTACAATAAAGTTAACAGAAGAATTACCTTTACACACTGGTGCTGATGGAAACCATCCAAAGTAATAGCACTGAGTAGAGGCAGGTCCCACTCTTACGTAATTGTTTGCACAGGTAAATTTCACAACATTTCCATTGTGGTATTTACCCTCCTTGGGAGAAAAATCTCCATGGGGCAATGTCAGCATTTCACATTCTATTGCTACAAAGACAAAGTATTTTAACACACAGTCTACAGCCTACAAAAAGTACACAAAATGCTACTGATTAGAACATAAACAAATAAAGTCTTAAAGAAAAAAGCTTCACAAAGTGTATACAGATTTATACTGATTAGCAAACACAACAATATTCACCAAGGCACCGGGGTGTTGGATTCCATTCACCATTTATGCCACATCTTGTGGTACCGGTTGGCATATTATTTGCAGTTTTATATCCCTCCAAACATGCATACTCAATTGTATCTTCAGGCATGAACACAGTTTTATTTGCGTGGTAATTCAAAATGTCAAAATGAGGTCTTTTACAGGATTCTGCAGAATAAAACAAAGTGCATTTTGTGATCCAAAACCACTGCTCTTTGGAAACATCATTTCTGTAGGTGCTTTAGTGTGCGCTAGTCTACTGAACTACTCAGTATATTTGAAACATTAAAAAATCTGCATTGACAGACTATGAATGCAGAATGTAATATGTAGCATATTCACATAATATCTATTGCATTAATCTTCAGAAATATGTGTCTAGAAGTAACACTGAGCATAAACATTTCTTCCTTAGATTCAATTCCTTTCCTTCCACTACATAATATTATTATTATTGATGTCATAGCAAAGAGTTTGTACTCCTGTTCCCCATGGTCATTTGTGAGGGAGTCAGAAAAAAAGCTGTAAAATCCTAGGTAAAGGTAGACTGAAATAAAAGGAGAAGATAAAATATCAGCTAAAGTTGGTCAATATTACCAGCTTCAGTATCATATTACTGGAAGATTAAGACTCTCCTTTTACTATCCTACACCCCTGTTCAGGAGAGAAAGCAACTTCTAAGAGGAGAAAGGTAACAACAGTATGGAGGTATTTTCAGGAAAAAGCCCTTCAGTGTTTTTCACAAATGCACTTTTTAACACCAGGGCAGACATAAATATAGTGCTTTTCATGCATAGTGATAACATCTTTCCAAATAATGAATCCCATTTTTGCTTAGTGTGCTCACATTTAAAGAAAGTTCTTGGCAGAAGTCCTTGGTTCACAGGCATTTATGGGTAAATCTTCCCTCATGTGTGAAAGGCAGGAGAACTGGGAATACGTTTGGGTGTATGTACTTTGTATCAGGTAAGAATCACTGGAGAGCGCAGTGATTACCATCTACTTCATTCTATAGAGGTCCAAAAAGATAGCCCACCTAGAAGACAGCAGATATTTTCCCACTTCACTCACTTCTTTATGTTCTCTTTGTTTCTTGGAACCCCAGAAAGGCTAATCTCTGGACGATTAACTTCTCTATTTGAGTCTCTGTCTGCCCAGCAAGAAAACTCTACCAATCCAGATTACAAAAATCTGAGTACGTAGGACATCATGTCTGTGGCAGTGACAATGACAGGGAGCTCTGAAGCCTGTATGCTACTCACTGATGCACTTTGGAGGTGGAGTCCAGCCATTCACTTGACACTGTATCATTCCTCTTTCTTGACCTTCTGGAGTTACAAAGCCAGTATGACATTTATAGGTGACTCTCTCCTGCAAACGAAATGTGTTCTTTCCCACAGTGAAATAACCATTGTCAAAATTGATATTCTGGCATCTTTCTGAAAGAGATAGAATTTCTTCCAAGTAAAACACTGCTAAACTATATGCTTATAATACACAGAAGAAGGAGGACAAATGAAACAGCAGTAGGATTTAAAACATTTTTAAGAGCACCATGAATGTTTGCTTCTGCACTGGGGGACAACTGGAAAGTGAAAAGTCAAAGTTCACAGTTACCAATTCGTGCAGCACAAACAGGGATGGACAGGGGTTTGACCTGCAGCAACCCTGCAAGCTTCCGAAATTGTATGTCGACATCTGGTCTTTACTAGAAATGAAATTCACGTTGGGCGTGCACTCACTGCACGTACATAAAGAGGACTTCTATCCATATTGCAAGGGGGACACACCAGAGATCACCGTGGTGTGCACATACCACCAGTTCTACCAAAGAGAAATAATTCAGAGTGCCCGTACTGCAGAACTAAAGCAAATTTGTAGCAAATGACCAATTCTTGCATACTAAAACACCAGTGAAGACAGACCCAATGTTGTAACTGATTTTACATCACTTACAACACATTGTTTAAGCCAGTCAAAATGGATAGAAATCAGTCATCTTGGTTGGATTTTGTGGTCTTGTATTCTGAAAGAAAACTTCCGTAGTATGCTAAATTCTTTACTAAAAAATCATTCTGTGAAGGAGTTTCTTCTTTTTAAGAAATTAACATTACAACAAATAGCAATATTTGCACATTAGAGAGCCAAATAAATAAAAAGATGGAAAAAAAAAAAAGACTGATGAACACTAGAGCACTAGAGGATGTATTTGAATGTTAGGAGCAGAGTTAATGATACTTCAGTGCAATAGCTTCAAAAGTTTCAAATTCCCATCAAACTTTTTGGTGTTTATACCAGTGATGCCACACGACTGCCTAACGCTAGGAATCATAGAATTTTATTTTGCTTGCTCATTGCTATGTCAAAACCCCAGTGGGTAGTGGTCCAAAACACTTTATGGTCGGTGTCTGTATCAGGGTGGAATTATTTCCTAAAAAAATATTTTTATGATCCAAGAAAAGTTAAGTTGAATTATTTCTTTTGTCCATACGAAATAATTCTCTAAAATATTTAAAGTTCCTGTGAGACATTCTAGCAATTTCAGGCTCGGTGCAAGTCAGGAACAAAAGCTGGAAACAGTTAGGAGAGGTAACCTTCCTATTCCTCCCATTTCCAGTATGATAACTAGAAAGGAAGCAAGAGAAACAGGGATCAGGTGGCATAGCAAGAAGCCGAAAGGAGATAAGAAATTACACATAAGCTGTGCAAGAGGAACAATTACTATTTATTATATTACTGCACAGCTATGTTATAACAAGATTTCACTACTGAAGACAAAGAGACCATGACACCCATCTCAGAGCTTACATTCTAGGAGATTTGAATGAGGCATGTGTGGACATTTTACATTCTGCATGTTTGTATAGCAACTGACCTCAGCACATACAGGGACACGAGAGCTGCATGAGCCAGTTGAGAGAATCACAGCATTGTGTTTCAGTTGCAGAGCACCTAGACTTAGTTACTAAGCAGTGGTGATAGATTAATGTAGGTGATGGCGATGATGGATTTACTGGTTTTAGCTAGAAACCTCAACAAAATACAAGCACACTCACTTTTACGGATACATCTTGGAGGAGGTGACCAGTCATCCTTCGTGCATGTGACTTCCCCACCTTCATGTTCAGTATGATAGTCATTGTCGCAGACATATGTAACTCTTTCACCTTCCTTGTAAGCATACTTTTGGTTATGTAAGAAATAACCATTTTCCAGCTGTCTGACGTGACAGTTTTCTAAAGAAGGAAGGTAAGTACATTTAACCATAATAATTTGTACAGCAAGGTGAATTAATTCTTAGGAAGACAGTTATTAAAAAAGCGCCTCCTAGGACTTTTCTGTATCCTTCTTTCTCAAAAAGACATTAATGTTCAAACCTGAATGAAAACATGTTTTGTTTCACTGACTTAAGATTAACAAATCACATGAATAGGAGTGCAAATCACTACACAAAGTGCTAAGAAGTGGTCTAGTCAACAACATCCCTTTCCTAGTGTTCATAAGCAAGGCTGGCTAACTTCAGTGCATCTAGAGTCACATACACGAGCTCTGGTTTGGTTTGCTATGTCTCTAAAATTTTGATGTCTGCCCCAAGTGATTTTCAGCATTTGCTTACAGGAGATTTTATCATTTCTGTGCAAATGTATCAGTCTCTCAAACCAGCTTTTTGCAACAGCTAAGCATGCTGGTTCTACAGCATTCTGTGCCCCCAAGAGCCCAGACACAGGAAGACAGCTGAAGGAACGCTATAGCTGTGTTCCTTGAGTTACTGGTCATTTCCTCTGGGCAGAACTCCCTCCACTCATGGCCAGCATGGAGCATCACCCCACTGAAGGAAAGATCAACCTTTTGTAATCCACTTCCAAGCCCTACCAGCAGGCAGGAACTTTACCGTGACTGAAGATGTGTGTTAGGAGAGAAGGCCTCAGCTTGTTGCTTTAAATCTATTTTCCATAGTCTGAGGTTAACTAAAGCAGTTCTACTTTAACAAACTGATTTTTGTTCTGTCTTGTGCTCCATCGGCACAATTTCTGCTGCACAGACCTCTGATAATTTTAACAGTATTGAACATATAGTGGAAATGTACTTACTGAGACATTTTGGCTCTGGATACCAGCCACTTTCTGAACAGACCATTTCACCATAGTAGTGTCCATTCAGGCTTGAATAACCATTATCACAGTAGTAATACACATGCTGCCCAAACCTCATGGGAAAGTAATAGTTTTTGTGGTCCTCCAGTGCTCTAGTTAACTTGCCATTTTCTATAGCTGGGTAATCACATGGTTTCTCTTGAAATAGAATTTAACAGCAACAATATCAATACATGCATGACAAAAAGCTCAGGACACAATTACTTCATTCAGCTTCATCATCTGAGTGTTTTTGGACACTGACAGAATCAGGACTGCACACCCGGACAGCCCCTAAGGAGAGCAGGAACAATCGCACTCTGCTTCTGCTGTCGTCGTCATTACCTATACCTATGTTGGTTCCCTCTGTTTCCATTGCAACCAGCAGAAATCCAGTCAATACTTTCAGTGGACTCCAAAGGTTGATTCATGAGACCAAATGTATGTATTTATTCTACGGTGAGATTACACCATCTTTGTGGAGTGTTTTGACTAAATTTACTATACTGAACATGATGGGAGCCCAGACAGCTAGCTCAGATACATACACTGAACTGTGGACTCTTAAAATTGAGATGACTCCTGTCACCATTTTAAGTGTTGGGATTCTGCACCAAAAGCTCTTCCTAGCTCTTCTCATTTTTATTTTAAAACTATAGTGTTTTTCCTTTTTCTGTCAGTTCCTCAAAAGAACTGACCCTTTCCAGGGACACGTCAAGGCTAGAAATAGGAGATCCCCAGAAGCTTTCATTCAAGTTTACCCAGGGTGTCCTACTTGGCCATGGCAGGTAGGTTCCTCCTGAATTGCTCTGATGCAGAGCATACGTTCTGGGGTAGGAGAGATCACCCACTGGACAGACCATTCAATAATGAGTGAGGTGGTCTCAGAATTATACCAGAATTTTAGAACCCACACATACACAGAGAAAAGATCAATCCAGATACTAACAGTACATTTTTCAGGAATAGTTCAAATCATCTAAAGGTTCATTTACAAGACTGATTTCATTAGGGTGTCTCTCACATCCTGTCTTCTAAGTTTTTCTGTTATTTTCAGTGACCAAAGATCAAGGAGTGCTAGATTATGAAATTAAGTGCTAATTTATTTATTTGTTAATACTGTGCCTATTGGGCAAAACTATCACTGTAGTTATGGGAAGTTTAAGCCAAGAAAGAGCTCATAAACGATCAAGAATATCTGGTTTTGTTATTTGACAGGTTATAATAGGTAGAATAAAACTGTGATTGTTTTATTATAATATACCAACATACAAGTATGTGAAAGTAAAAACCTAAAGCTGCAATAACTACAATGAAAGATATCTTCCAGCCATTACATATGTTTTGTTTTGGTTTGTATACTTTAACACTCACTATGTCCTCTTATCTTGACTGGCGTGCAACTCCTCAGGTGGACCACAAACCTTCCCGACAGGGAGCTGACTATAGGACTTTTTAACACATATTTTCACAAATACAGTAATAGATAATACCTGTGTTTATAAACATAATGTAAATGTAGTTTATACCATTGTTTTTATAGATTATTTTTCTAAACCTTCAAATTAATCTTTACATCATGAAGAAATACAATATATAAGTAACTCTAATTTCTCATGCTTCTTAAGTTTTTCTCTTGTTCTCTTTTTCACTGAGATATTTCCAACAACTCCACATGATGTATCTTCATTTATGAGAGCTACTTACGGACACAACCTGGATCAGGCACCCAGCCATTCCTGGTGCATTCAGCTGTTGTTTTGCCAGTCAGTGTTTTAAAATGATATCCAGGATTACACTGTATTGTTATTATATCACCTACTCTGTAGCTGTCTTCTTGAGGTCTAAAGTTCCCATTGGGAATTCTTGGAGGAGAACATACAATTTCTAAATAAAAAGAGAAAAAGTGCATGCTAATTTGAAGAATATGTTTATATTTATTGCATAAATTATTGTTTTCAAAGTATATTGACCGTAACTGCATAAAATTGTTAAAAAGATGTTTCTTAGGGCAAAGAAAAGGCTACATTTCTCTCACACTCTTAGAAGTGTAGGGTTGTGTAAGAGGAGAGTGACAGCTGTTACTGATACCATGCTAACTAGAAGATTAAAACTTAACTGCAAAGAGAATGGTTGAAGCAAGAACTAGACGTGATCAAACTGAATTTGACTAATCTTTTCCAGGAGGTCATTCCACAGCTGGAGCTCAAAATGAGCTATGCTGGGCTCACTCTCAGCTCTCCTGGGCTGGTTTATGGACATTGTCCCAAAGGGGGGCAGGTTCACTGGCAGGTCCTAAATGGAGAAATAACTATACTCAACAAGGAACTGATCATTCAAAGGCTGTGTGATTAAGATTAGGGTCTTGCACTGACACTGGAAGTATTTCAACAACTGAGAAAGGATAAGAATGCGATCCTAAAAAGCTCATGATATCTTTATGCTCAGAGAAGCCAGACAAACATACAATTTATAAACCAGAGCCTGTCTTTTGGGTTGGTTTTTTTTTTGTATTCTACTTCCAATTTAGAAAATACCATCAAGACACTCAGGGCTGGGAAGGGATGACTACAAGGCAACTACAGGTTGGTCCTGCTGTGGAGTGAAGGTGGGAGAATCAGCTGTACGCATGTACTGCTGAATCATATATGTTCACTGGTAAGTCAAGTAGGATTCAGAACCACTATTTGAATACACCCCAAGTATCACAGCCCAGTATGTCAGTGTCTGGAAGAATGTTTTGTTTGTCACTTTTCAAAAGCAGTACATTGCTAAACTGTAGGCAATGCATATTAATTAGTATCATTACTAATCTTGAAGGAAAAAGGTCAAGAACTGAGTGGGCACGAAGACTGACTATTCTTTATTTCTAAAGGAGTCTTTCTGGAAGACGTCCCAGTAAGGTGGGTGGTACATAACATCCTACAGTGTTGCCCTGTTGCCAGCATTTTTTTTCCAGTTTCAAGTGTTTGGCAATTTCTTGAAGACAATTCAAGGCATTAATGATTTCCCCAAAATTTACATCAAACTATTTAAACTGGGACATAACACGCATACTTCTGGAGATTTAATTACAGTCCTTAAGTGCTGTAGTTGAATGAAACTAAAGTGAAATCCATGACCCAGAGGGCTGATGTCAAACAGGACTAGCCTGAGAAATCATGGATTTGTCATCTTAACTCTTCAGAAGGCATTTGGGAGTTAGAAAGCAAGAGGGAGTTTCAGCATTGTAAATATATTAATTTGTAGAGATTCTCAGACAATTTCCAACAGGAAGTTTGAATACCATGGATAACGTGGTTGTGCAATTACAGTTCTGATGACATTAAACAAATTGCTGTCTTCATCCTAGACTAAGGGTCAGAGACAGTGGCAGGATTAATGCATACCTTGTTACTTTGGTCTCTGTTATACATCACACCATTTCCATGGTTGTTATGGTTAGTGAACTTCAAATCTATACTGTACACAATCCTTGACATAATGGCTGTGTAGAAAGTACAGGCTACCCAGGGAGGTGGTGGAGTCACCATCCCTGGAGGTGTTCAAGAAACGTGTAGGTGTGGTGCTTAGGGACATGGGTTAGTGGGTTGGGTGGTGTTGGGTTGGACTTGATGATCCTTGAGGTCTTTTCCAACCTTAACGATTCTATGATTCTATACTATCGCTTTCAGCTTTATGTATAATCCAGCACTACAATTCCATTGAAATTTTCAGCTTAGATACCTATGGCCATCAATGAACAACTTATCCTTCAGAAATTGGACTACTTCACAATTTCTTGAACTCCTTTGGAAATGGCCATGTCAACTTCGGATTATTCTTCCTACAACACTATTTTACTATTTCAGGAGAACTCTTGAAAGGCAGCTTACAAACTTAAGTCAGTATCTTAATTTGAAAGGTACTTTTGTAAGTAAACCTTCTGAAAGGTTTGCACAGTACACTAACAATTTCTTATGAAGTTCCATCAGTGAAATAGGGATTATTTTTGAATTGTTCCTCTTTGGTTGGAACTGGTTGATTAGAACTAGTAGTCTGGAAATTTAAAGAATGGCTATAATAGCTAGCAGCCAGTTGCTCAGCCTGCTCAAACTACAGTGAGACTCATCAGGACACAGACAAAATGCAGAGGTCAGTTCAGGAGGTCAAGTAAACTTCTGTTGTCACAAATGTTCATGCAGGGTGAGACGCTGAGTGTTATTTTACTGAGTGGTTAGTCCTATGATTACAAGTAGCAGAGTCTTGGTTACGGTGACACAGCATCTCAACTGCTGAGCATGGAAGACCTGAAGATGCATTAACTTGTATCTCCCCCTCAAAGAACTGCTTGTGATTCATAAGTAGGTCATCTAGGTAGGATTTCCCTAATATTGTCACACTGTTGCAATTCATATGGTATCAAACAAACATTTCTTTACCCAGCCTTCAAACATACAGCACAACCACTGACTTGTACCAGTTATCTTCATGCTGAACACCCTGAAAAAGGTATCAAGACTTGATGTGAAGACAGCAGGATTTCAAAAACCATACCACTTCTCTAAAAGTTGGTTTCAAATGTTAAATTTTCCCATGCCATTAAAAATTTCAGATTGCTTCTGTAGTTTGAATTTCTGTGGTATTAATACTTCTTTTTTCCCGATTGCTTAAATATTCTTTTAATGTCTGATTTTTCCACTCCTTTGACAAAACATTTTCATCATATTTTCTAGAAGTAGGAAGAATAAAGCTGAATCTCTCTATTTGTCCAAATTAGGACTTTTTTCTAACCCAATAAGTCTTTATCCTATGTTCTCACACCTAATTAAGAATCATATAAAAAAAGAATAAAATAACAACAGCTACTAATGCTGCATGAAGTATTTTAGCATCAATGTCATTTATGCAGTATATTGGAGCAATTGTTACTTTGTGGACCTATTTAAGTACACTCAAGTAACAAAAGACTGAATTGACTGTTTTTGCTACTGCTCTCCATGGAAAACTCTTATCCAGTTGTTTTAACATTTAACCTTCTCGATCTTCATGGGATATTGGTCAGATGTGGATGGATTTCTTCTGTTATTAATAAACTTTTGTCATTACTAATCTCTGAAATTACTTCCAAACACAACAAATGTGCAAAATAACTTTAGGTAAGGCTAACCAGTGCAATACGGGGTTGGATTCCATCCTAATTCGGTACATTGTGCATCTGCTCTTTCACCATATCTGTATCCTTCTTCACAGCCAAACTGTAGTCGTTCAGCCTCCTTGTAAGACCCCTTTGGAGAATGTACATATCCATGCAGAATTTTTGGCACATCACAGATAATCTCTGAAATTGAAAAATACAAAATACATATATTTTTGTTTATTTGATGACAATAAATTCCTATTGGAATAAAATTTAGGTGTTTTTTTCATTTGACTTCACAAAAACATTTGCACTTGGAAACTGTTTGAAACTTATTTGAGAACTCTTCAATTATCTGATTGGGGGTGCCAGGTAGAAAGTGTGGTGTAACACAGCATCAACAGCAAATTGGTTCATGAGACAGATTTCAGGGCTTTACCTTGTATTTTAACAGATCTCAGAAATTAGTATATAAGGCAGGGGACTTTCTAAAATAAGCAGCTAGGCTGGCTGAAATGTAGGATTTTCCATTTTTCAGATAATTTCATTTCCTTATAAATTCCAGCAAACCTAAAGCTCTGTCATAGCCAGCAGATGATTAGTTAAATCATGGCATCAACAGGGAAAAGAATTAAACTATATGGAAAACTGACAGTAGAATGCTTCACTGTCTACAAAAAAACCTCAGCATCCCCAGCTTCTTGCCAAACCAAATAAAACCACAAAGATCCTGTAGTTTTCAAAAACTGCATTCATAAAACCAGAAAATATTCAAGGCTTTGTTTCCTAAGCCACAGACCAGGACACCAAAGACTTCTCTTGGGTTCCTTTGATGGATTTACTGTGTATTTAGGATGTTATATAGTTCAGTGAAACTATCATTTTTTGACAAAATTCACTATATTCTGTCAATGTTACAAGCACATGTGTTTAATCCCACTTTATGCTATTCAATTTATAATAAATGGTGGTTGCAAAGCAGCAAAATGCAGCGCTGAAATTGTGAAAAAACATACATGTACCTGACAGCTCTTCAAAATGTATATTCTCTGATAACATATAAGTAATCTAAGAAATTTGATGGACTGAATATGTAACAGTGATTGTTACCATAAGCTTCTTGGGATTCATTCTTACATACTGACAATCCAATCCCATACAGTCTCGTATAACCCCATCCACCAGTACAAACTGTGGGTGGGGCAGGATGGGGTTGACTGGCTGAAAAGTAGTTTTGCAAAGAAAAACTTGGCAGTCCTTACGGAAAAGTTGAACAGGGCCAGCACCATGCCTTTGCAGCAAACAAAGAAAACAATGTCCTAGGCTCCATTGAGAAGGGTGTTGCCAGCAGGTCAAAAAAGGTGATCCTTCCTCTCTACTCAGCACCAGTCAGACCACACCTGGAGTCCTGTGTCCAGGTCTGAGCTCCCCAGTACAGGAAAGACTGGAGCAGGTCCAATGAAGGGACATGAAGATAATTAAGGAATTGGAAAAACTGACTGACAGAGAGAGGCTTAGAGTGTCTAGAGAAAAGAAAGCTTGGAGGGCAGGGAAGATCTTATTAATGTGCATAGGTATAAATTCCTGACTGTGGTGGGGCAGCAGAGTAAAGATGATAGAGCCAGACCCTCCTCATTGGCACCCGGTGACAAGATGAGAAGCAATGGGCACAAACTGAGATACAGGAAAAACATTTTTACTTAAGAGTGGTCAAACACTGTAATGGGTTACCCAGAGAAGCTGTGGAGTCTTCATCCTGGGAGATGTTCAAAAGCTGAGGGGACACGGTCCAACCTATTCTATTCTGAGGTTCTGTATAACCTAAACACGAATTAACCTTTTAACTTGTCAAAACATATTAGTCTGAAGAAATAAAAATCCATTATTTCCTTGTGTTTTAAACTTCGTTCACAAAGATTCAAAATAATTTGTAATTACTTTGGTTAAATCAACACTGAAGTGACTGAATCTTATAGAATCATAGAATCATTAAGGT